CTTAAAAGCCATGACATTGAATTTAGTAATGTGGTCATGAGTGACATTAGCAAGTCCACTAGCAGGTCCCTACTTAGACTGGGCTCAAGAGAAACGGGAGGAAAGGAATTAGAGACAACAAATGTAGACAACTCTTTGGGGGAAGTTTTGTTATCAAAGGGACTAGAGAAATGGAGTGATTGCTGGAAGGGGAGGTGGGATCAAGAGAAAAATGGAAGAAATAACATCACGTTTGAATGTTAATGGTAACACTCTACTAGAGGGAAAAACTGATGATGCAGGGAAGAATTAAAGTGAAGGAAGTCCTTGATTTAGGCCAGAGGGAATATAGAATGTAATCTGAAGCAAACATGGAGGTTTGGTGTTAGATAGGAGATTGGTCATGCCATCTAGAGTAACAGGAGAAAAAGAAGAGTATGTGTATAAGATGCAGGTAAGTAAACAGAGACCAAGTTGGAAGCTTGTGGAAATTCTCTTGTGATTGCCTTCATTTAATCAGTGAAACAAAATAGGAAATGAAGTCATCAGCTGAGGGTGAGAATACGGGAGAGGTGTTTTAAAGGTCTGAGGAAAAGATAAGTGTAAAATGGCCATTTAGGAGAGTGTGGATAAACCAGGTAAATATGCTATCACTGCCTAGCAACATTAGGGGGCTCTCTAAAGATTATGGTCGTGAATTTAAAGATACACCAATCAGCATGATTTTGTCTGTCTCTAGTCACATTTAGCTCTGAGGCACAGAATAGACAGAGTTGTATTTATCCAAGGTACGGATTTTTGTCAAGCAAGATCCATGAAGCAAGAATTGAGGCTACATGCAAGAAAGTGATTACAATGAATGACCATGGGATATTGCCCACTCTAAGGAAGAAAGAGAGGACATGAAAGAGGTAATGATCATGAAAAGATGGTAGAAACAATGGATTGGAGGCCTGAATAAGGCTGAAGGATTGTTAGGGTTAAGATACTAAAGGAAGTGGGCTAGAAAGACGAGAGACGATTAATAGAAAATGGAAGCTTGAAATTAGTATTTAAGAATTGTTTTAATTAAATGACAAGACCAGAGGAAGATATGGCTGACGTAGGACGGGAAAAAAGATCATTGTAGAAAAGAAGTTCAAGAAACTAAGAGGCCAAGATGTTAGAAGAATCATTTACAAGGCTATATTACTAAGAATTAACACAGAGAGCAATTATAAACCAGGAACTAAAAATCATCAGAAAATGAGGAAAGATGACCTCAGTAAGTAGGTGATACAATTTTTTTTTACATGAAAGTCAAAGCTGAAGGTTTTTTAGAGAGGAAGGACTGGAAATGGAAATGAGGAACAATGAGAACACACGTTTTACCAGTTAGTCCAGTGGTATGATGGCTACTGGAGAAAAGAAATTAACACTGAGAAGCCTACAGAAAAACAATGTGATCAGAAAGGCAGATTTCAGTCAGAGGGTAGATGGTGAAGAGAATGCGCAGGGAAGAGGTTGACAATAAGAGGAATTTGGTTAATGATGAATAGTTCCACAGGGCATAGCAAAAAGGTTTCAAGCACTGTAAAGGAAAAAGAATAGAGACAGATATGGGCTGTGCAAAGGCTATGGAGGTTTGAGTGCGGGGTGAAGTGGGAATCTGAGACTCCTTGCAGTGACTTGCATAAACAGGAGGAAAAGGCATAATGAAATTGGTTCTGGTTGAATCAAAGCAAATAATAATGTCAGGGCTGAAAGTGTTGGAAAGAAAGGTGGAGTAGATATCTAGGAACCCCTTTTAACCCTGCAGATGGAAGTAGGGACACCTAGGAAGGGCTGATCTTACCCAAGCATAGAACATAATGAACTTATTCTTGACCCCTCCATGAGAGGGCTCATCTTACTAAGGGCACGGTCTTCCTTCACAGGCTTTGGGACTTACTCTTGACTCATATTAGTTATTTCTTAAATAAAAAGAAATACTTATTCATTATTTGCAATACACTCTGACATCTTTTATCCTATTTCTTTTTCTTTTAATACTGGCTATAACCCACTCAGTTAACTTCAAAACTCACTAATGGCTTGTGACCCATGGTTTGAAAATAAGACTCTGTAGTAGGTAATTAATCATAACTTCACAATCATCCAGGAAGCCCTGAAGTTCTGAATCTTTTTGTCAAATATATGAAAGTCCTTTTGAAATTGATCTATGTTACCTTTCAAGAGTTCACGTGCAAACAAACAAAAAAAACCACATGCATATACACACAGGAAAGTTATTTTTACCATTTTTCATCTTCCATTATTTTACTTTGAGGATTATTGATAACTGCTTGGTCTTACCACTTGATCATTATTGTCAGTTTGCCATGCCATCATCCAAAGATTTTCCACTAAACCTTCCTTCTCAAACCACATATGATATGATGAAATAAATGGATGCTTTCTTTAAGTCATTCAGTCATTCCACAAACATTTATTTGATGCCTGTTATACCAGGCATTGGATATCTAATAGTGAAAGAAACAGACATGGTCCCTCTACTTATGGTGTTGTGATGGGAAATGCTGGGATGGGAGCCTTTTATACAGAGGTCTGTTACAGAAAGTAACATTTTAAGCTGAGGCTTGAAAGATGAAAAAGAGCCACCCATGTGAAGAATTGGGTGTAAAGCATTCCAGGCAGTTAAATAGCATCTGTCAGGTAAAGTTATAGAGAGCTTGAGCCTATTAGAAAAATTAAAAAGAGGTTTCTATGGCTGCAGCTTGGAAAGAGAGGGTATGAAAGGCTGAAGATGAGGCTGTAGATGTGAATAGAGGGTAAATAATACAATACCTTTTAAACCATGGTGAGTAGCTTGAATTTTATTCAAAGTGCAATAAAAAGTTATGTTTTACCAGGAGAGTGATATAATTTGATTTATATTTTTAAAAGCTCATTCTGGCTCCTGTGTTGAGAATGCATTGGGAGAACCCAAGAAAAAAAGCTGGAAAAACAATAATGAAGCTATTACATTGTTCCAGGCAAGATATGCTAACAGCCTGGATTAGGCAGTGCAATAAAAATACTGAAAAGTGGCCATGGTTGAGATATATTTTGGAGATAGATGCTATAGGACTTACCAAAGGATTAGGTGCTTTTGAAATTTTTAAAAAATTTATTTTATTGGGGAATTCCCTGGCAGTCCAGTGGTTAGGACTCAGCTCTTTCACTGCCATGGCCCAGGTTCAATCCCTGGTCAGGGAACTAAGATCCCGCAAACTGCACAGGACGGCCAATAAATCAATAAATTAATTAATATTTATTTTATTGAAGTATAATTGATTTACAATGTTGTGTTAGTTTCTGAGGATTAGGTGTTTTTCAAATGGGAAAAGATTAATGCCCACATTTTTGGATTTAGCACTGGTGATATAGTTCTGCCATTTATAGGGGAAGACTGGTGGAGAAATGGCATGGGAAGGAAAATCAAGAGTTCCATTTTAAACATGTTAAGTTAAAGATGCCAAAAAGGTATGCAAGCATAAAAGTGAACTACCAATTTGGATATGTGAATTCATAGAAGTATAGCCTGGAAATATAAATTTGGAAGCAATCAGAAAATTAATGGCATGGAAATTTCACCTACAGAAAAGAGTACACAGAAATAAGTAACTGAAAATATTACTGATAACAAAGACTAAGTTCAAATACAGTCAGCCCTCCATATCCATGGGTTCCACACACAAGGATGGAAAGTACTCAGAAAAATTCCAAAAGTTCCAAAAAGCAAAACTTGAATTTGATGCACATCAGCAACTATTTACATAGCACTTACATTGTATTAGGTATTATAAGTAATTTAGAGATGACTTAAAGTATACAGAGGATGTGTAGGTTATATGCAAATAAAATGCCATTTTATATAAGAGACTTGAGCATCCACGGATTTTGGTATGGGATGCGGTCCTGGAACCAATCTCCTATGGTTACTGAGAGACAGCTGTATTAGAACACATAGCTTTAAGAACATTTTCAACATGATTGCCTTTCTCTTCACAAACTAATGAAAATGCCATGTAAGGCTGATTCACATCCACAGGTCTCTCAATAAATGAAGGAATAAATGATATAGCTATATAAACTAATACATTTTGGTGTTTTACTTCTGCCAAAGTTGTTGATTTACTCAGTCAAGACTTATTTTTATTTTTTAATCCACATTTCAATTAGAGCAGCCATAAAGCAGCAGGGATCAGTCAGCTATGGCCTGTGTGACAAATTCAGCCTAGTGCCTGCTTTTGGATGGCCTGTGAGTTGAGCATGGTTTTTACTTTTTTTTTTTTTTTTTTGCGGTACGCGGGCCTCTCACTGCGTTGCAGAGCACAGGCTCCGGACGCGCAGGCTCAGCGGCCATGGCTCACGGGCCCAGCCGCTCCGCGGCATGTGGGATCTTCCCGGACCGGGGCACGAACCCGTGTCCCCTGCATCGGCAGGCAGACTCTCAACCACTGCGCCACCAGGAAAGCCCTACATTTTTAAATGTTTGAAAACAAATCAAAAGAAGAGTATTTCATGATATGTGAAATTATATAAAATGCAAATTTCTGTGTCCACAAATATTGATTTATTGGAACAGTCATGCTCACTCTTACACAAATGGTCTGTAATTATTTTCAAGCTATGACAGCAGAATTGAGTAGTTGCAACAGAGACTATATGGCCCAAAAAGCTTAAAACATTAACTACCTGGCTCTGTACAGAAAAAGTTTGCTGATCCCTAATATAGCACATCACTAATTTGTACCTAATTTATAAATATCTTGCCAACCTGAAATTTCTATAAGTAACTTACTGAAGTACTCAGAACATCTCTACATATCAAATGAACTCACATATAAGTATTTATAAGCATAATGTCTACCAGAAGCAATTGACAAAGAATTGAACCAAAAGATGAAGATTCTAAGTTTCTGCCTGGTACTGAAGTACCAACTCAGTAACTACTGTGAAAAGATTTGATAATTATTTCTACCTCAAACACCTAAAACTCTGGAGTTAACTCATTTCCTTCCATCACTCCCTACTCTCTCTGTCAGAAAAAGAGTAAGTGTGTGAAATATTTTATGCCTAAGGCTGCTACTGGGTCCTTGAGAATAGCAACTACTACCTTAAAATTGCAACACTTTGTACAAATTCTTAAAATATAACTCATTCTATGCACCTGACCCTATCCAAGTTAACAAAGAAATATTCTTACCATTTAAATTTTCCGAGTTAAAAAGATTTCCTATTATCTTCCTTGTTCCATAAACACTACTGGACATAAATGTATATACTGTGTATGACTTCTTTCAGGCCAATAAGTAATTGTTCAATAAATTATTATTCTAGGCTTTCCCGCTTAAGGCGGGAAATGAGCTGCTGACCGGAGTGGTGAGCAGCCTTGCTGACCGTCAGAAGAGTGACCTAGTAGAGCCAATCTGCAAGGAAAGGAAGGGCCAAATACAGCAACTTTTTCATGGCTATAAAAGGGAGAGCTTGACATGCCCACACCACGGGACCTCTAGAAACTTTCCTGAGCCGTGTGGCTGACAAGGTCTTGGTGCTCCGGCCAGGTGTCAAGCCTGAGCCTCTGAGGTGGGAGAGCTGGGTTCAGGACACTGTATCACCAGAGACCTCCCTGACCCACGTAATATAAACCAGTGAGAGCTCTCCCAGAGATCCCATTCTCAACGATAAGACCTGGCTCCATTCAATGGCCAGAAAGCTCCAGCACTGGACACCCCATGCCATACAAGTAGCAAGACAGAAACATAACCTCACCCATTAGCAGAGAGCCTGCCTAAAAACAGTAATAAGTTCACAGACACCCAAAAACATACCACCGGACGTAGTCCTGCCCACCATAAAGACAAGACCCACCTCATCCATCAAACACAGGCACCAGTCCCCTCACCCAGGAAGCCTACACAAGTCACTAAACAAGCTTACCCACTGGCAACAGGCACCAAAAACAATGGGAACTACGAACCTGCAGCCTGCGAAAAGGAGACCCCAAACACAGTCAGTTAAGCAAAATGAGAAGACAGAGAAATACGCAGTAGATGAAGGAGCAAGGTAAAAACCCACCAGTCCAAACAAATGAAGAGGAAATAGGCAGTCTACCTGAAATAGAAGTCAGAGTAATGATAGTAAAGATGATCCTAAATCTTGGAAATAGAATAGAGAAAACACAAGAAACGTTTAACATGGACCTAGAAGAACTAAAGAGCAAACAAACAATGATGAACAACAAAATAAGTGAAATTAAAAATTCTCTAGAAGGAATCAATAGCAGAATAACTGAGGCAGAAGAACAGATAAGTGACCCGGAAGATAAAATAGTGAAAATAACTACAACAGAGCAGAATAAAGAAAAAAGAATGAAAAGAATTGAAGACGGTCTCACAGACGTCTGGGAAAACATTAAATGCACCAACATTCAAATTATAGGGGTCCCATAAAAAGGAGACAAAAAGAAAGGGGCTGAGAAAATATCTGAAGAGATTATAGTTGAAAACTTCGCTAATATGGGAAAGGAAATAGTCAATCAACTGCAGGAAGCACAGAGACTCCCACACAGGATAAATCCAAGGAGAAACACTCCAAGACATATATTAATAAAACTATCAAAAATTAAATACAAAGAAAAAATATTAAAAGCAGCAGGGGAAAAGCAACAAATAACATACAAGGCAATCCCCATAAGGTCAACAGCTGATCTTTCAGCAAAAACTCTGCAAGCCAGAAAGGAGTGGCAGGACATATTTAAAGTGATGAAACGGAAAAACCTGCAACCAAGATTGCTCCACCCAGCAAGGATCTCATTCAGATTTGATGGAGAAATTAAAACATTTACAGACAAGCAAAAGCTAAGAGAATTCTACACCACCAAACCAGCTTTACAACGAATGCTAAAGGAACTTCTCTAGGCAGGAAACACAAGAGAAGGGAAAGACGTACAATAACAAACCCAAAACAATTAAGAAAGTGGTGACAGGAACATGCATACTGATAATTACCTTAAATGTAAATGGACTAAATGCTCCAACCAAAAGACACAGACTGGTTGAATGGATCCAAAAACAAGACCGTATATATGCTGTCTACAAGAAACCCACTTCAGACCTAGGGACACATACAGACAGAAAGTGAGGGGATAGAAAAAGATATTCCATGCAAATGCAAATCAAAAGAAAGCTGGAGTAGCAATCCTAATAACAGATAAAATAGACTTTAAAATAAAGACTCTCACAAGAGACAAATAAGAACACTACATAATGATAAAGGGCTCAAACCAAGAAAAAGATATAACAATTGTAAATACTTATGCACCCAACATAGGAGCACTTCAATACATAAGGCAAATGCTGACAGCCATAAAAGGGGAAATCAACAGTAACACAATCATAGTAGGGGACTTTAACAACCAACTTTCATCAATGAACAGATCATCCAAAATGAAAATAAATAAGGAAACACAAGCTTTAAATGATACATTAAACAAGATGGACTTAATTGATATTTATAGGACATTCCATCCAAAAACAACAGAATACACTTTCTTCTCAAGTGCTCATGGAATATTTTCCAGGATAGATCATATCTTGGGTCACAAACCAAGCCTTGGTAAATTTAAGAAAACTGAAATCATGTCAAGTATCTTTTCCAACCACAATGCTATGAGACTAGATATCAATTACAGGAAAAAAACTGTAAAATATAAACACATGGAGGCTAAACAATATGCTACTATTAAATAACCAAGAGATCACTGAAAAAATCAAAGAGGAAATCAAAAAATACCTAGAAACAAATGACAATGAAAACATGATGACCCAAAACCTATGGGATGCAGCAAAAGCAGTTCTAAGAGGGAAGTCTATAGCAATACAATCCTACCTCAAAAACAAGAAAAATGTCAAAATAAACAACCTAACCTTATACCTAAAGCAATTACACAAAGAAGAACAAAAAAACCCCCAAAGTTAGCAAAATGAAAGAAATCATAAAGATCAGATCAGAAATAAATGAAAAAGAAATGAAGGAAACTACAGCAACGATCAATAAAACTAAGAGCTGGTTCCTTGAGAAGATATACAAAATTGATGAACCATTAGGCAGACTCATCAAGAAAAAAAGGGAAAATGACTCAAATCAATAGAATTAGAAATGAAAAAGGAGAAGAAACAACTGACACTGCAGAAATACAAAGGATCATGAGAGATTACTACAAGCAGCTGTATGCCCATAAAATGGAAAACCAGGAAGAAATGGACAAATTCTTAGAAAAGCACAACCTTCCAAGACTGAACCAGGAAGAAACAGAAAATATAAACAGGCCAATCAATAGCACTGAAATTGAAATTGTGATTAAAAACTTTCCAACAAACAAAAGCCCAGGACCAGATGGCTTCACAGGTGAAGTCTATCAAACATTTACAAAAGAGCTAACACCTATCTTTCTCAAACTCTTCCAAAATATAGCAGAGGGAGGAACACTCCCAAACTCATTCTACAAGGCCCCTACCACCCTGATAAAAAAACCAGACAAAGATGTCACAAGAAAAGAAAACTACAGACCAATATCACTGATGAACATAGATGCAAAAATCCTCAACAAAATACTAGTAAACAGAATCGAACAGCATATTAAAAGGATCATATACCATGATCAAGTGGGGTTTATCCCAGGGATGTAAAGTATTCTTCGATATATGTAAAGCAATCAGTGTGACACTCCATATTAACAAGTTGAAGGAGAAAAACCATATGATCATCTCAATAGATGCAGAAAAAGCTTTTGACAAAATTCAACACCCAGTTATGGTAAAAAACCTCCAGAAAGCAGGCATAGAGGGAACTTAGGTCAACATAATAAAGGCCATATATGACAAACCCACAGCCAACATCGTCCTCAATGGTGAAAAACTGAAACCATTTCCACTAATATCAGGAAAAAGACAAGGTTGCCCACTCTTACCACTATTATTCAACATAGTTTTGGAAGTTTAAGCCACAGCAATCAGAGAAGATAAAAAAATAAAAGGAATCCAAATCGGAAAAGAAGTAGTAAAACTGTCACTGTTTGCAGAGGACATGATACTATACATAGAGAATCCTAATGATGCTACCAGAAACTACTAAAGCTAATCAATGAATTTGGTAAAGCAGCAGGATACAAAATTAATGCACAGAAATCCCTTGTATTCTTATACACTAATGATGAAAATTCTGAAAGAGAAATTAAGGAAACACTCCCATTTACCATTGCAACAAAAAGAATAAAATACCTAGGAATAAACCTACCTAAGGAGACAAAAGACCTGTATTCAGAAAACTATAAGACACTGATGAAAGAAATTAAAGATGATACAAGCAGATGGAGAGATATACCATGTTCTTGGATTGGAAGAATCAACAGTGTGAAAATGACTCTACTACCCAAAGCAATCTACAGATTCAATGCAATCCCTATCAAGCTACCAATGGCATTTTTCACAGAACCAGAACAAAAAATTTCACAATTTGTATGGAGACACAGAAGACCCTGAATAGCCAAAGCAATCTTGAGAAAGAAAAATGGAGCTGGAGGAATCAGGCTCCTTTCCTTCAGACCAACTACAAAGCTACAGTCATCAACGTAGTATGGTACTGGCACAAAAACAGAAATATAGATCAATGGAACAGGATAGAAAGCCCAGAGATAGATAGACCCACGCACATATGGTCACCTTATCTTTGATAAAGGAGGCAAGAATATACAATGGAGAAAAGACAGCCTCTTCAATAAGTGGTGTTGGGAAAACTGGACAGCTACATGTAAAAGAATGAAATTACAACACTCCCTAACACCGTATACAAAAATAAACTCAAAATGGATTAAAGACCTAAATGGAAGGCCAGACACTATAAAACTCTTAGAGAAAAACATAGGCAGAACACTCTATGACATAAATAACAGCAAGATCCTTTTTGACCCACCTCATAGAGAAATGGAAATAAAAAGCAAAAATAAATAAATGGGACCTAATCAAACTTAAAAGCTTTTGCACAGCAAAGGAAACCATAAACAAGGTAAAAACATAACCCTCAGAATGGGAGAAAATATTTGCAAATGAAGCAACTGACAAAGGATTAATCTCCAAAATTTATAAGCAGCTCAAGCAGCTCCATATCAAAAAAACAAAAAACCCAATCCAAAAATGGGCATAAGACTTAAACAGGCATTTCTCCAAAGAAGATATACAGATTGCCAACAAACCTATGAAAGGATGCTCAACATCACTAATCGTTAGAGAAATGCAAATCAAAACTACAATGAGGTATCACCTCACACCACTCAGAATGGTCATCATTAAAAAATCTACGAACAATAAATGCTGGAGAGGGTGTGGAGAATAAGGAAACCCTCTTGCACTGTTGGTGGGAATGTAAATTGATACAGCCACTATGGAGAACAGTATGGAGGTTCCTTAAAAAACTAAAAATAGGGCTTCGCTGGTGGCGCAGTGATTGAGAGTCCGCCTGCCGATGCAGGGGACACGGGTTCGTGCCCCGGTCTGGGAAGATCCCACATGCCGCGGAGTGGTTGGGCCCGTGAGCCATGGCCGCTGAGACTGCGCGTAACAGTGAAAGGCCCACGTACCGCAAAAAAAAAAAAACAAAAAACTAAAAATAGAACTACCATTTGACCCAGCAATCCCACTACTGGGCATATACCCTGAGAAAACCATAATTCAAAAAGAGTCATGTAGGGTTTCCCTGGTGGCGCAGTAGTTGAGAGTCCGCCTGCCGATGCAGGGGACACGGGTTCATGCCCCAGTCCGGGAAGATCCCACATGCCACAGAGCGGCTGGGCCTGTGAGCCACGGCCGCTGAGCCTGCGCGTCCGGAGCCTGTGCTCCGCAACGGGAGAGGCCACAGCAGTGAGAGGCCCGTGTACCGCAAGGAAAAAAAAAAAACCGAGTCATGTACCACAATGTTCATTGCAGGTCTATTTACAACAGCCTGGACATGGAAGCAACCTAAGTGTCCATCAACAGATGAATGGATAAAGAATATGTGACACATATATACAATGGAATATTACTCAGCCATAAAAAGAAATGAAATTGAGTTAGCTGGATGGACCTAGAGTCTGTCATACAGAGTGAAGTAAGTAAGTCAAAAAGAGAAAAACAAATACTGTATGCTAACACATATAAACGGAATCTTAAAAACAAAGGTTCTAAAGAACCTGGGGCAGGATGGGAATAAAGACGCAGACATAGAGAATGGACTTGAGAATACAGGGAGGGGGAAGGTAAGCTGGGACAAAGTGAGAGAGTGGCATAGACATATATACATTACCAAATGTAAAACAGATAGCTAGTGGGAAGCAGCTGCATAGCACAGGGAGATCAGCCTGGTGCTTTGCGAACACCTGAAGGGGTGGGATAGGGAGGGTGGGAGGGAGACTCAAGAGACAGTAGACATGGGGATCTATGTATATGTATAGCTGACTCACTTTGTTATACAGCAGATACTAACACACCATTGTAAAGCAATTATACTCTAATAAAGATGTTAAGAAAAAAATTATTATTCCAAGGCACTTACTGACATCATATGAGGTTTGAGAAAAATGTAAAAGCTCTCAAAAACGAATGTCAAATTAACTCCTATAAAATAGTCAGAAGTAGGAAAAACATGCCACTTACATATCTAACTCACTTAAAACTGTTGTTGGTTTACTATGAAAATGTTTTAGCTTGAAAAACATTGTTTGCTGATTCCTTAAACTCAGCTACTATTACCAAACCTACAACTGACATATGTAACAACATTAATAAAAAACAATTTTATACATCATTTAGTCAATAGCATAACTTAATTTTCTTTTATTTTTATGCAGTTATTAAACTCACACTGTCTTCCACATCTCCAGTCTTCCAGCCTTTTAACAGCATTTTAGACACAGGTATCTGAAGTTCATTTTCTAGAATCTGTTTAATTTCTCCTGTACGAAAAAGAGGAGACCAGATATTACTAACAAAATAATGCAATAAATATTTGTTCATATCCAGAGCTAGCATTAATATTAGGCATATGGTCCACAGTCAATGACATCTGTCTGATGAATGCATATGAAAAATTTCAGTAGTCCAAACTTCAAATCTTGATCATACAACATGTTGTGCCATTGAAGAACTAAGGCTCCACCATTATGATAAAAGACTCCACAATTACTTAAGTACCTTCTTAAAAAGAAACAGATATCAGTGACTGGGGGTTTGAAAGGAAATAATCTATTTTAAACCAACTGATAATATCTATATGTGCTCAGCATATGGTAGGAGTAGTCGGTAAAGTACAAAACTTGAGGCATTATAGTATAGGGAAAGCAAATTGTGGAATGAAGACTTGGGCTGAAGTCTTATCTTGAAGAAATCAAATAACTTGCCTTTTTTTTTTTGCATCTATAAAATGGGGAATAATATTGTTTATCTCATCTACCTCTAAGATAAGATTTTTTGCATCTATAAAATGGGGAATAATATTGCCTATCTTATCTACCTCTAGGGTTCAAGGGTGAAAGGAGGTAACATCCATGAATGTAGCTGGAAAAAAATAATAAAGTCAATGTATATAATCTAGAAGACAATTTAAACTGTGCTGAAGAGAAAAGCAGCAGAATTTCAGAAAAGAAAAAAAATTATGGTGGATCAAATAGTCAGAGAAAGTTTTGTGAGACAGATGAGACTTAAACCCAGCTTGAAATACAGCTGCATTTAAACCAAACTTGAAGTATAGCCGGGTTGTGAAGGAGAGCCAAATCAAAGGCCAGGATATTCTATTCAGTGAAGACAAAGACCAAAAGGTAAAAAGGAAAAAAGGAAAATGATGCTAATGAGAAACAGTGAGGAATCACAATTTTCCCAGTACTCCACAAATTACTTTTCAGTAATCGAGTCTACTTATAAATTAACCAGCTAATTTCTGGTACTACAGTATAATAAACAGATCATTAAATCAGAATGTACAAATATTTCATATATATGCTTTTATTAGGTTGGTTAGTCTATAATTATAGATTAACACATAATTCAATTTCATTTATATTAAGTGATTGAACACTGCAGAAAATGATTATACTATACATTAAAAGAAAAGTAATTCCATGCTGATAAAGGAAAAGATGGCGGGTGAAGCTTACACTACACAAGTTCTATGGAAGCACAGCTGCCTAAGCAAGCAATGCTACAATCAAACCCTTCATGGCCTTAATGACATATTTTTACTTTCCTAAAGAAAATTCCTATCTAGGCACTTTGGATAGCGATTAAACATCATAAAAAGAATTGTGATTCAACATTATATTTTAGAAGCACAAAATTTATCAACTTTGACCTTCAAAAATATCACTGCTGACAAAGGATTGTTCTGTTCATGGAAATGAGAGAAAGGTGAGCTATACTTCTTTTACCAAATACATATAAACACTGCCTTTTCATTTGTGACTAAGGTTGCTATTTCTAAAGCTGTACCTATCTGGAACTGGGCTTATGCGCTTACAAGCCTGCCCAGTGCTTTCCTCTTAGAAACTTATCTTCACCTGACACTTCCTGCTTAAACTCTTGGAGACACCCTTAGCATTCATAACCTAAAGGAAAGGAAAAACAAAAAGAGACTTTAAGTTAAAGTCCCAGTTACAAGCTTGGGTAACATATAATACAAAAAGTCTTTTGTTCCACAGGTAGAAAAGAATAGAAAACAAACCCAGAGCCGTGACAGCAACCTGAGTTCCTCATATTCAAAAAATTCTTCTCTGTTGGTCTCAACTTCTTCTTCTCTAAAGTAGGAATAATAACTATAGTACCAATACTTCATTGGGTTGCTGTATTAAATGACATACGGAATAGAAAATACTTTGTGTTACTATGTGTCCAATACATAAAATGGACTCAAAAAAGGTTGTTAGCTTTAAGTCATATTAATTAAGGTAATACACACGTAAGTGTCTAGCATAGTATCTGGCCAGTATAGGTTCTCAATAAATAGTTGTTGTTTCAAGAATATCCAAAATATTTTAGGGCAGTGAAGCGCTAGAATGCAGCAAGTTTCAGAGCCAGTTTTTATATCCAGGTCTGCCTGACTCCAAAGATCTTAACACAAGATGGCACTCCTGTATGTTACTTCGAAAACTGAGAAGATACACAGATGTCATCAAGGAACAGTCCACTGACTGCAAACCATATATCTGATAAGGGTTTAATACCCAAAATATATAAAGAACTCATATAATTCAATAGCCAAAAAACCCCCAAATACTCCAATTAAAAATGGGCAAAGGACTTGATTAGACATCTTTCCAAAGAAGATATAAAAATGGCCAATAGGGGGCTTCCCTGGTGGCGCAGCAGTTGAGAGACCGCCTGCCGATGCAGGGGACACAGGTTCGTGCCCCGGTCCGGGAGGATCCCACATGCCGCAGAGCGGCTGGGCCCGTGAGTCATGGTTGCTGAGCCTGCTCGTCTGGAGCCTGTGCTCTGCAACGGGAGAGGCCACAACAGTGAGAGGCCCGCGTACCGCAAAAAAAAAAAAAAAAAAAAGGCCAATAGGTACATGAAAAGATGCTCAACATCACTAGTCACTAGGGAAATGCAAACCAAAAACCATAATGAGGTATCATCTCATACCTGTTAGAATGGCTACCGTCAAAAAGTAAGAGATAAATGGCGGCAAGGATATGGAGAAAAGAGAACTCTCATGGGATTGTTTCCTTCTATTCTTACTTTGCTGCGAGTTTAATTATTAAAAAACACGAAATTTTAAATATTGTTAAGTACTGTCAAATGCTTTTTCCTCCATCTATTGAAATGATCAAATGAATTTTTTCATTCATTGTACTAATATATGGTGAACTACAATAATGGATTATATACAAATTGTTAAACAAGCCTTATAGTCCTGGGTAAAGCCCACTTGACCGTGAGTTATATTATATACATACGTATATATTTTTATTATATTTAATGAATTCAATTTACAAATATTTGTAAATGATTTCTGCCTCTATGGTTGTAAGAAATAGTCTGTAATAGTTTCCTTTTCCTGTAATGTCTTTGTCTGGTTTTAGTATCAGGGTTAATGCTGGTTTCATAAAATGAATTAGGCAATATTTCATCTTTCTCTATTTGTGAATGACTGCTAACATTTTTTCCTTAAATATTAGACAAACTTTACCAGTGAAGCCATCTGGGCTTGGGTTTTCTCGGGGAAAGGTTTTGATTGTTAACTATCAATAACTTTATATATTAAATGTAGAGTTACTCAGATTTTAAATTTTTGCTTCTGTCAGCTGTAGTAACTTACACCTTTAAAAAGAGTTTTTCTACCTTTTTAATGTTTCATGTAACCTTTAAATTTACTGGCCTAAATTTGCTCTTAATGTTGTCTTATAATCCATTCAATGTCTGTAGGTACCTTTCATTTTCAATGATTAACTTCTGTTTTCTCTCTTGTTCTTATTCACATTAGCAAGAGAACTATCAATTTAACTGATCTCAAAAAACAGCTTTAGGTTTTGTTCATTTTCTCTACTGTTTATCCATTTTCTGCTTTATTGATTTCTGTGTGCATGTGTATGATTTGTTTTCTTTCCATACTTAAGGTTTGATTTGCTCTTTTCAAAAAAATTTAACAGCTTTATGATTGATATAAAATACTGCACATATTTAAAATTCACAATTTGTAAGTTTTGACAAATATACCAGTGAAACCACCATCATAATCAAGATTATGAATTTATTCACCTCCCCCTAACACTTTTCTTATGCCCCTTGTTAATTCCTCCACACTTCCCCTACCATATCTCCAGGGAACCAGTGATTTGATTTGTGAATTAGCTTGAATTATACAGAATTTTAGATAGAAGGAATTTCAGAATGTTCTTTTAAAATCTGGCTTCTTGCACTCAAAATACATTGTCTGAGATTCTTCCACATTGTTACACGTAATGATAATCCCTTTCTTATTACTAAGTAGTATTCCATTGTATGGATATACAACAATTTGTTTATCTATCCACTGGTTATGGACATGTTGTGTTTTCCACAGTTTGAGGCTATTACAAATAAGTTGCAATGAACAGTAACATACACGTCTTTAATGGACATATGATTTCATTTCTTTTGGGTAAATACCTAAGAGAGGGATGGCCAGTGTATTTTTAACTTTGTAGGAAACAGTCAAACTCTTTTCCAAACTGGTTTCTACTGTGATGTCTTCAAGTTCACTAATCTTTTCTTCTTGAGTATCTAATCTTCTGTTAATCCCATCTCAAGACATCATGGTCTTAACCTCTAGACATTTGATTTGGGTTATTTTTACTTTTTCAATTACTTATGATTTTAAATCCTTCCTCTCTCTTTTTGAACATAAGTAATATAGCTATAATAACTGTTTTAATGTGCTTAATCTGCGAATTCCAACATCTATGTCAATTCTGGGTTGTTTTTGGTTAATTGATTTCTCTTCTCAGTATGGGCTGGCTTTTCTCCTTCTTTGTATGCTTGGCAACTTTTTACTGGATACGAGACATTGTGAATTTTACCTTGATGGGTGCTGAATGTTTTTTATTCCTATAAATATACTGAGCTTTGTTCTGGGAGGCAGTTAAGTTACCCGGAAACAGTTCAGTGCTTTTGGGTCTTTGCTTTTAAGATGTTGGTACCTGTGCAGTATTAATCTACAGCTAATCTTGACACTACTGAGGCATGAGCCTTCTGAGTACAGCTGACCCTTGAACAACACAGGTTTGAACTGTGGGGGTCCACTTATACATGGATTTTTTCAACAGTAAATACTACAGTACTATACAATTCACAGTTGGTTGAATCAGTGAGTGAGGAAATGCAGGTACAGAGGAATGGAGTACATGGAGGCCTGACTATAAGTTATATGTGGATTTTTAAGCTGTGCAAAAGGTTGGTGTCCCTAACCCCAGTGTTGTTCAAT